ATTTCGTTCTTGAAGTATCTAGCGATTATTGGATATCGATTTCTTATTATAACAGTGCGCAGGGTAATGAGAATACAGAATTCAATACAGCATACCTTTGTCCCCGTAAATTTGCCCTAATCGCTTAAATAAAATGTGACCCTTTTTAACCCCTCTTTACTTGTTTGATGACTAATATATGTGTTAAAAGTGGTCTACACTGATTGACAACTCACAAGAAAATTCCGTTGGGCGAATTTCAAATAAGTCCTGGATTGTAGCAAGCATTCTACGTGTGCACTGTTTTTCTCTCCAAGCAGAAAGTTGGCAATGTAACCTAACAAACGTGAGATCAAAATTTGCTGCTAACCAATGCTTCAACATGGATATTATGCGTGCTTAAAAATGGAATTTACTAAACTTTGGCAATTTGTCCCCAAGTAACTTACCAGGAGACCCATAAACGCAGTTTGATACCAAGGAAGCACCCTGAATATTTATGGAATAATTGTTGAGAGTAGGAAGAATGTTGTCTAGTGCTTCAGTCGTTCTTCATTAATAAGCCGACTCATGCCTCTAGTTTTATTTCCCCTCAGTAAATACGCAAATTGTGCAGGATGTGTTGCTTTTGTTTTCTGTCGAATGCGTCACACGTGATGCATGGAGCGTTTGTTACGATGCTGCTATATATATATATGCAACCTCAAATTACTTATTGCTTTCATTGCAATGAATATATACATATCCTGTGAGGCACGTTTTACGCCTTAGTAAATGCTCGCTTTGTAAAATGAAGCAAGATTCTAATAGTTGGTTTCTTTTTAAACAGTAGGTATAATGCACAGAATCATATGTGTACTGGCCGTGGTTGTGTGTGCGATTGCTAAAAATCTGTCACTGAAAGAAGGTGATGAGCTAGCAATATGAACCTGTTAGTGAGTAACTGTACAGGAAATTATGTTAATTTGCAGCAACTAATATTATTGCATTGTTTAACATGGAGCGTATATTTCCGTGTTTCAGAGTTATTCAAAGGAAATGGAGCGAGTGGCAAATAAATAGGTGTTACAATGTATTGGCGAATTCCCGACTCCGCGTTTTCACGAAAAATATCCTGACACGGGCTTCACCTTTTTCACTTCCCGCTCCAGACCAAAATTCTCAGATGCGTTTCACCATGCTGGGAGAAGGGGTACATACAACTATGACAACGACACCTGCATAGGTTCCTGCACAAATTATAAGCAAGTAAGC